CCCGGCGCCGCCGGCCTGCCCGCCCCGGGGGGCCGCCGGGCCCGGCGCTGCCGCCCGGACCATTTTGTGCAGGGTCTGCCTGGAGAAAATGGCTTTTTTTGGTGTTGCTGGTGGAAAAACTTTTTTTTCCCTTCTTTTTCTTTTTGTTTGCTTTTAGCTCTCTCCACCCCGTCTGGCTGGGGGGAGGTGAGGGAGTGTAGGGATCCCGCAGCCGGGAAGCAGCTCCAGGCTGCAAGGATTTCCCAGCTCAGGAATGGGACTGTTGCGTCCCACAGCCTCCTTCCCTGCAATCCAATCGCCTCCTTCCCTGCCTTTTTTATTTGCTTGCTGTCCAGAATTGACAGCAGAACAGAAAAGTGGAAAAAACGTTAGACTTTCAACGCTTTCTAAGGATACAGGGTCTTCAGCGTGACACTAATTCCTTAGTGAACCATTGATTCAACAGGACTGGCTTCCCACCTTGTCACCCTCTGTCCCTGCCTTTCTTCCCTTGTTGTCTTCTTTGCTGTGCCTGATTAATCTAACAACTGTCCACGGTTCCCGATCTGTGAAATCAGCTTTTCCAACAGAGGCTTTAAATAGTGTACAGTGTTTCCACACACCTGAAGCAGAACATGGATGGGTCTCCATGCACATTCTTCAGAGCTGGACATCATGCCCTTACTTAATTCCTCTTAATTCTAATCTAATCGAAATTATAATCTTAATTCATTTTTCTGCAAACACATTGCATTAGCTTTACTGAAACACAAACAGGAATCTCCCGTTTGGGATGTAGGCGGCGGACAGACCCACGTGCTTTGTTCCAGGAAGGCACATCCTTGTCCTGTCAGGTTTGGATTTCCAAAGCCATTGCTATTCCTCTGCATCAGGAAGTCCACAGAGCCATAAACATGAACCACCCCGCCGAAAGCTTACTGGAAATTGAAACATGACCTAGCAATTGAGGTGAGCTGTGGTGAGCTCATTCCCATCTTTCCTAATTTTTATTTTTAGACCTACTGCGCTGTGTTTTATTTTGGCTTTTTTTGGTTTGCTTTTGTTGTTTGTTTGCTTGCTTTTGTTTGTTTGCTTGTTTGTTTTTTGAGTTACTAGAGATATGTTCTCCCTCAAAGTATAAATAGAATGAATGTGGCCCTATCAGGAGGAGCATTCACTTTTTCAAGTGGGATGCATCATCATAAATGAACAAGTATCCAGTTTCCTAGAATGAGAACCTGCTTGTAAACAGCGTCCCTGGGTTTTTGAGACCTGAAATGTAATATTTCGTCCTGAAATCACATCTTCCTCTAGATATGGGATCCTCTGATAAAAACGAGGCAAAAGCTCTTTGTAAGAAAATGATGTGGTAGAAAATGATGTTCGTAAATGGGGTGTCTTTTACCTAGCCTATTGCAAAGGAAGCACTAGTGAGCAGAAATCAGTGGAAAAGAAGAATTTTCCTTCCAGAAAATACACGCATGCAAAGAGGTGGCAATTTTGTGTCTCTTTTCCAGTCACTGCCTGTAAGTCTTGGTTGGATTTTCAGTTTTCATTGAGTGTGTGCTTCTGCACAGCACTGGCTTCTGCGGGTCATTCGAACCCGCTAGGAGTTGCTAATTGAGCTCATTGACATGGAAATGGGAAGGATAATGAGGAGCCTTCAAGTACAGGAGGATCACGATAAACAAAAATCACTAGGGAAACCTGCTTCAAGTGTGAAAACTGAGGGAGGTGATCTGCTTCGGACAGGTATGTCACATAATGTCCAAGTGTCCCAGTCCTCGCTGGGGAACAAGACCCCAGTGGTGCTAATGTTATACAAACATGGCCAAAAAGTGCTTTGGGGAGTTTATAATCCCTGCTAGTCAGGGCAAATTTTATCTGCTAACTCTTTGCAGACATTAGAGGAGAAGAGTCTCTTCTAACAAGACTTATAACTTCCAGATTCATTTTCACATGGTGCTTTTAGTGACTATTTTCACTGGCTTTAAAAAGGTGAATCTATTGGATAGTCTCCACATGAAATCTAAATGCTTTGGCATCTTTCATGTCTGCTTTAAGTCCAGATCATGTCATTTTGTATTGCTCTTAAGTTTTCATGGACAATAGGAGTATTTATGCAAAAATAAAAATGGATTTCTGTCTGATGATTGCATGGGAAATACAGTGCTAGCACATCTGTGACTGTTTAACGTTTACTACAATATTAGTTAAGCAGAGACAAATGGAAGATTCTTGGGTAAGAAAACATCACTGGAAGCACAAAACAATATTTTTCAGCAGGGCTCAAATTAGCTTCTTACATAGCCCTCATTAATTAGGAGCCAAAAATAATCTTGTTGAGTCGTATTTCAACACAATTTGGAGCAGCCTGGTTTCACTCCTAAAGGCACACATGGTGGTGGTGACGACACGAGCACGCAGTGATGGTAATATTGCCGGCGCTTCGACTGTCTGCAGCGTCTCCTGCTTGTTTCAGGAGATGGATGTGACTCCTTTGGCTGTCGTGGTGCTAATTCACCCCTTGATCTAACAGGAATGGAAGGAGCACCCACCTGAATTCTTCTTAGGCTGAGATCAGTGAGAATTTATAACCTCCTTTCAGTGGTTTTTGCATCCCTGTAAGGTTTAAGAATGTCCTACAGCTTTGGTTTACCCGTGGGTATTCTGAATCATGCTTGTTGTTCTCTTCTATCTTTTCTTCCCAAATCCTACTTTTTCGACCCTTGGTTGGAAATGGTCTTTTAAAGTTCTCCTGACTTTCCTCACGTCACTGGATCGCTCTCCAGATTAGCTGCTCCCACGGGTTAAATTAATTTCCTCCACGGCACAAACCGGCAGGGGGGCTACACCCGTATGCTGGGGAGCACAGGCTGGCCCTGCACCCGCTCTCCTGCTAGAGAGACAACATGAATCCGTGCAGAAAGGACTGAGCCAGGTCACTTGTTATGCTTTTAGCAACCCTACAAGAAAGGCTTAATTATCTATCCCTAAAATTATCACTTGCAGGGACAAGAACCATAAAGACAATAGGTCAGGATCCCTCCCTGACACAGGGAGACCATTAAATGCTTCCTGCAGTTCCCAAATATTTTGCAAGAACTCCTGTTGCGAGCTGAAAAATTCTGAATCATCAGAATTTTGAGCCTGTGGTTTTTGCTAGGTCAGAGCAAAATTCATTTCAGCGCTGTGGAGGATCTGCTGTGGCAGGCACGGCGCTTCATTCACTCTTTAAGTGCAGCAGCTCCGAAAGCCTCATCCAGGAATCTGGAACGTTGCTCTCTGAATGGAATTCATTCCTTGTGCTGCTTAACTGTGACTTAAGTGGTACATAAATCTGTGCCGGCTCTCAGTGTGGGAGTGAATTTCATCCTGCATGAACGGTGCCTAATTGGGAAGGCACTAATTACACCTTTGGCACTCTGCTTGGAAACTCCTTGCCTTTCTCCCTGCCCTTTCTTTCCCATAGCTATCTGCTGATTGGGTTGTTTCATCTCCCAGAACCCTTGTAGTTTGCTAATAACGAGAATTTTGTACCGTAGTGCTCATCCTGCAGTCGTGCTGGCAGAACTGTCAACTCCAGGCACTTAAAACTCATTGAGTCAGTCCCTGCAAAATCAGGGAAACAGCTTGGGGGAGGGAGGGAAGAGGTTTTCTTTCCAAATACAGAGGTTCTTTCAGGGTGTTGAGTTCCTTTGGGTTTTGAATTCTGCAAGAAAGTGTTTACACCAGATATGAAGTGATTTAAGAAAGAAAACTCAGACTAACACACTGGAAGCTCAAGAAAAATGGAAGCTCTCATGACACTTGTGATAGTGCAAATTGGCACGTGTGCATGTTGCAGACCCTTGTTCGCAGGAGCAAGTTTTGGAAGAGTTATGCCAGCTTAAAACAGCTGAAAACATGCTCTTAACCACATTTTAAGAGGTTAGGTGGAGATTTTCAGAGATGCCCAAATCCTGTTTAGGTGACCCAAATCCTCGGAAAATCCCAGTGGAGCTGGCCTTGCCAGAGGTTTTCTGAGACACATCCGGGAAGCTGCTGAGCAGCTCTGGGAGGCCCAGCTGGAGCTGCAGGATCACTGTGTCGTGGGTGCTGTTGAACACGGCCGTGGGACCTAGTGTGGGGTGCGAAGGTGGTGTTGGCAGCTCTGGAGAGAGGTGCTATTTTAGGCCAGGTTGGAACCATCTTGTCTCAACGAGGGATGTTCCATCTCCCCAGTCAATGAGTGCCCTGTCCAAAGGAAATCAACCTCCAACCAAGTGCTTGTGTCACATCTTTTCCAGCCTCCAGAGGTTAAGCAGACCGTCGGGACTGCTGTGGGAAGCGGGGCCTCCTCCAGCTCACAGCCCAGTGCTCCTTATGCTGAAGGCGCTGGGAGAAGCCAAGAAGAGCCCATCAGCCCCTGGCTTGGCTACGCTCTGATCAATCCAGCTTCAAGGAGAGCAATCCCTCCGCTTCTCCACCGTGTGCCACAGCTGGCTGCAAACAGCATGGAGAGCCCTGGATCTTGCAGAGAGGAGAGAGCTCCGGAGGGCCCCTGCGTGGGGTTGGTGGGACAAAAGGAGACAGGATTGCGGGAGGTCTGGTCTGGAGAAGGGGCTGCTCTGAGGAGCCTGGCACTGCATGGGGACTTGTTCATCCAGGGGGTGACAGATCATTCCATCGGGAGCCAGAACTGCCCTTCCCAATTGCCTGGGGGGACTTAGCCGGGCTCACTATCTTCTGCAAACCTCCTCATGTTAGGCATGGGCAAAGGAAGGAAAAAAGACACCTGTCAAGTACAGTTTCTTTTTTTTTTCTCTCAATTTGTTGTATTTTGCCCAAAATCCCACCTGAT